CTGTGGGTTAATGTGCTGGACTGCAAGGTCAGTTTGATCTGCAAGGTTGACTGTTCAAGCTCACCAGCTGCTCCTTGGAAACCATATGCAGGGTCTCTATGGGGCAAAGCAGACTCAATGGCACTTAATACCAATACCAATAATATCATTGGATAATCGAACAGATATAGGAAAATTAATCTTTATAGAAATAGTTTATATGATAATGAAAAATGAATGATACAATTAGAATATCACCATTTGGCAACTTCTGAGGAATTAACTGGTGTACGAACTGAACATTAGTTGCTACTGACATTGTAAAAGAGAACCAGGCATTATGTACCTTCTAAAGGAGCTCTGGTAGTGTAGTGGTTATGAATCAGGCTGCGAACCTTAAGGTCAGCAATTAGAAACTACCAGCTGTTCCGAGGGAGAAAGATGAGGTTTTCTGCTCCCGTACAGATTTATAGCCTCAGAAACCCTGTATAGGGGTCTGAGAGTCAGAACTAATTCTATGGCACATAACCACATTCTATGGCACATAACCACATAACCACATAACCACCACATAACCACCACCACAACAAAATGGAGCTCTGGTAGCATAGTGGTTATGAATCGGGCTGCAAATCTCATAATCAGCAGTTGGAAACTACCAGCTGTTCTGCAGGTGAAAGATGAGGCTTTCTGCTCCCATAAAGATTTACAGCCTCGGAAACCCTGTACCAGGTAGCTATAAGTCAGAACCCACTCTATAGTACATAACAACAACAACAATGGAAGACCACACTACCACTTATGAAGTTGTTGTTAAGTGTTGTCGAGGTGGTTCTGACCCACAGCAACACTGTATAGGGTTTCCAAGGAGCAGCTGGTGAGCTTGAACCACCGACTTTGCAGTTCAAATGACTTTTCAGTCTGATGCATTAGCCCACAGCGCCACCCCAGGATTCTGGCTTATGAAGCAGTCATGCTAAAAAATCGAGACTGAACCTGATGAATCTTCTAGACTTACCCAGCAATACAAAAATATAGATAACAAAGGAACATGTTCAACAACACCATGGGGACATAATTACAGAATTTAGACTACTAAAAACTATAAACGACAGATGACTTATTTGTTTCTTTTTTAAAACAAATATGTTGAAAAAAAGAGAAGGGGGACTTATAAATTGAAAAAGACTTTAGATCCAAGAAACATATCAATCAGCTAGAAAATGTGGACCTTATTTGAATCTTTATTCAAACAAACTACAAACAAAATAATCACTACATTTG